CAGAGGGGGCCCGAGACCCCCGCGGGGCCGCTGACCCCAGTGAGTGCGACACGGCGAAGGGCTGGTGCCCGCACCCCTCTGGCAGAAGCAGCCTGAGCCCCGCTCCCGCCTCCCTGTTTGTGCCAGGCTTCCCTTAGTCCCGAGCTTCACCGAAGCCATGCTTAGGCTCCGCTTACTAACGTGGGACGTGAAGGACACGCTGCTGCGGCTGCGGCAGCCCGTGGGGCAGAGTTACGCGGCCGAGGCCCGGGCTCATGGGCTCCAGGCGCAGCCGGAGGCACTGGCTCAGGCTTTCTGGGAGGCGTACGAGGCCCAGAGCCGGCTCTTCCCCAACTACGGCCGGGGCCGGGGGCTGAGCTCCCAGCAGTGGTGGGTGGACGTTGTGAAGCAGACCTTCAGGCTCTCAGGCGTGCATGAGGAGGGAGTCGTAACGCTGATGGCGGAAAACCTCTACCATGACTTCTGCAGTGCCCGCAACTGGGAGGTGCTGCCAGGAGCCAGCGAGACCCTGAGCCGGTGCTGCCAGCACGGCTTCTGCATGGGGGTGGTCTCAAACTTTGATAATCGCCTGGAAAACATCCTCACCCAATGCAGCCTGCGGCACCACTTCGATTTCATCCTCACCTCTGAGGACGCAGGCTTCGCCAAGCCGGACAGGAGGATCTTCGAGAAAGCACTGCACCTTGCCGGGGTCGCACCAGAGCAGGCGGCTCATGTTGGGGACGACTACACCCGGGATTACAGGGCAGCCCGAGCCGTGGGCATGCACGGCTTTCTGCTCCAGGCTGCTGGGCAGGGCGAGGAGCTAGAGGTACCCCCTGAGCACATCCTGCCCACGCTCAGCCACCTCCTGGCTCTCATTGAGAAGGGGTAGCTGTGTTTTGGAAGAGGACCAGTGCTGCTGCTGAGTAGCAAACCGCTCCTGGTGTGGGATTTCTTGCTGCCAGTTGGGCAGGGAAAAGAAGTGAGTGCTTCCAAGCACAGGGAGCAGTGCTGCCTGCAGAGCAGGAGGGCTGGTAATGCAATAAAATGTACCTGACACTCAGCATTGCTGCTGCTGTCTTTCATATCTCACAAATCACTATGGAAGAGGGTGAGCAGTGGTGCCTTCCCCTAATGGAGCTGGGGACTGGGTCAAGCTGCACTCTAGAAGGCTCATTCTGGCGGGGGGTATGGAGGCAGACACTGGGGTTTATCCCTTCTCGGTCACCCCGGGGGAGGCTCAAGCACCCCCCTGTGCAAGCACAGCAGCAGAGCTGGGGTCAATGCCGTCCCAGGGAAGGTCTACTTGCACAGAGCACCCCTGAGAACTGTGCACAGGCCCTGCGTGCCTCAGCGTACCCCAGGTTTGCCACCTCACCAGCATCCCCCTCTTCCTGACAGCAGTGGCCAGGAGGCAGTTGCAGGCCTCCTGCTGCAGGCAAAACAGTCTGGAGTTGGGCGATTTCACTTAATATATTGCCAATTAGCAAACTTTACTGATTTGAGTATTGAAAAATAAGGGCAACAAATTTTAAACTGTTGGGGAAACACCTTTCCTGCCCTTCTCCCTCACTCAGCTTCAGTTCAACACCTTCTTCCCTGCCTAATCAGCTCCCCCTGTTTTGCCATGTTACACTCAACCCCCCCGCTCCCTTTGGTAAGGCGAGGAGCAGGTCAGGTTCGGTTTCCTTCTGCTGCTCCTTTCTTCTTACTCCTCTGCTCTCACCTGGGCTCCTCCTTGGGCCACGACCCCTCAGGACTGCCCCAATGTGGGTTCCCCCTGGGTGACAGCCCCCCCACTGTCCCAGCTGCATCCCAATGATGTCCCTTTCCATGTACTGCCTCCCTGCCATTTCTCCAAACACATCTCTTAATATTTCTCCTGTTTCCTAAAGCCCACTGTCAGGCTAGAAAGCTGCCCTGGGTCAGAGACGAATTAAATGATTCACCTAAAAACAGCTGGCAGAGCCAGGAATTACGCTGACCCCTCGCCCCAGCAGGGCAGACACAGGGAGGGTTTAGCCTCCAGGAGAGGAAAGCTGCCATAAAACATATGAAGAAGATGTCATCTGAAGGCAGGTGTTGTCTGAACAGCACTGTACACAAGCCAGTAGCCCCCTCTGGGCTCCTTTCCCCCATAAAGGTACTGTATACTGTACAGTCACTGTATATACAATTGTATATTCACCCCCCCAGCAAGCGCAATGCTTCACTCACTGGACAAGCGAGATGCTCTGGTGTGCCACAGCAAAGACGGGATAGAGGGGCTCCGCAAAGGCCTCCCTGTGGGAGAAGAGGATGGTGCAGGAGTCAGGATCGTAAAAGAGCACCTCCCCTGCCGCAAAGTCAACCAGCACCCCAATCTCAGACGGAGACTTGATCAGCTCCACTGCCTGTGGGTGACCAGCGTGCAGAAACCTGAATTCCTTGTCGTAGCGTGAGAAGACCCAGGAGGCAGCGTTGAAGCCCAGGCGGGCTTCATTGCTGGACCCCTTCCGTGGCAGGGAGCTGTAGCAAACTCCCAGCTTGTAGGCGCAGCTCTTCTCCACACTGATCTTCCAGGCGCAAACTCCCGAGTGGAAAGCTGCGGTGGCCAAAGCATTGGGCCAGTGGTCAAATCGCTCAGGGCAGTCCAAGTCCACCTTTGCTTTCTTGGGGCTGAAGGTCAGGGTTTTCCCGTCTTCTGACAGGCTGAGGTGGGGGCTGATAGTTTTCTCATTGATGTGAATCTCCTGTGCACCTGCAAGAGAAGCCACAGGATGAGCACCAGCTCGGTGGCCGCTGCCTGAACCGTGCAAAGAATTCATGGCCATCAGAGACACAGTCTGCTCCCACAGGGTGACACAGTGCTGGGGACTCAGGCTCAGGCTGGGGGCCAGCACAGCAGCTCCCCGCAGGCTCCCCTCTCAAACCAGGGCCAGAACAAGGCAGAGACTCATCAAAGCCCAGATTTCACCAGACACTGCTCCACCCTTGCACTAGAACTCCTGCAGAGTCGGAGAAGCTGCTGCCCAAATTACTCGGACCCTGGCCCAAGTCCCCGTAAAACAGAACTCAGCAAGTTCGGTTAATCCCATTTTTTGAAGAGACCCAAATCTGAGCCCCATCCCTTCCCACCCCCACTGCGGGCAAGTAGGACCTGACTTCTCCCCCAGAGCCCAGAGCCTTCGCACAGACAGCAGGGCTGTTTGCACAAAACCTGCAAAGCCGGTAATACGGGAATGAGGAAGAGGAGAGGGCTGGGCAGGGGAAATCCCGTTCCTCCTATAAAGCCCAAGTCATTAACCAACCCACCCCAGGCACTTTCAGAGCAGCTGTGGGAGGTGGCACCAGGCATTAGAGAGGAGCATGGCCACGACTCAATTTGGTTTTGCTGTGAATTAAGGGGCTGCCCGGCTGCCCTTATGCCACAGCACAAAGCCAGTGAGCTGCAGCCCGGGGCGAGAGCCAGGCTGGCCAGAGGACGCCTGCACCCACCGGGGGTCTGCTCTGCTCCAGACCTGTGGGCTGACAGCACCCAGCATCGTTCATCCTGCCCTGGCTCCACACTCCCCCCACAACACCCCTCAGCAGGTCAGCAGACCAGGCACTGAGTAACTGCACAAGTGTTTCCCTCGCTCTGCAAATTGGTGAAGCAAAGAGATGAGGCTGATGCCCAGCGGACTCGCCTGCTCCCGGGGAGATCGTTTCTACCTGCAGGTGCCCCTCCTTGCCCTGCCTTGCCACACCCTCACTTCATTCATTTTAGGTCTTAAACCACCATGGAAACAAGACTGGAGCAGGCGAGTCATTTGCTCTCCCCACCCTGCCACCAGCAAGAGCTCTACCCTACCACGCCTGCTCCAGCCATTTCCCAACCACCCCCTGCTCAGCATTCAGCACATGGTGGGGTGAGGCCCTTATAGAATCAAACCATTACCCTGCACCCTAACTGGGGTCGTCCCAGAGCCCAGCCTGCTCCAGCACCTACATGGACCCAAGTCAGCACCCTGCGAGCAGCACCAGTGCTGGTCAAGGGGTTTCCTAGGGCTGCACTTGCCCTGCTGCTCCCTGGCAGGAGAACAAACCGAGGCTGAATTATCAGTTTGCACAACATGGAAATGCCACGAGCACCTGGACGTTAGGTGGAAGCTATTGCGGGCAACAGCAAGCAGAAAGAGGAGCCGAAGATGGCATCTCCTTCCAGCTGAAACAGACAACCTCATTTGTCTGATGATTTATTTCACTGAGCAGCAGGCAAACGCTTTGCAGCGTGCCTGCCCACCACGCTCTGCCGTCGGTAGGTCTCTGCAGCTGTATTTGGCCATGCTGCCTATTTGTAGGTTGACTTTCCAGGAAGCCAGACACTGCTACGAATTCACAGAAAACGGAGCAGTACAAGACTTTATCTTCCTCTGACAGAAGAAGGGCACCAAACCTCATATTGTGCAACACACATCTAAGCTAGGTGTGGGGTTGCATTCTGGTGTTCGTGTACTGGGATCACAAGGAAGTACCACCCTGACGACACCCATGTAGCTTCATTGTGGAATTGCGATTCCAGGGGAGCATCTGAGGGAGGCGAAGCGCTGGCAGAGCAACAGCAGAGTAATTCAGATCAGCAAATTTTCCCACACAGACAACTGTTTTCTTTAACAAATTAAATCTGCCCTCCGGATATTCCCATATATTCTGATGAACAATTCCCCAGGAATTCAGCTCGCCCCAAAAGCTATTTTCTTTGTGTACAGTACCCATCAGAGTGGCCATGCTGCTTCAGGGAGACAAGGGATGCTGGTAGGTAGGTTAACACAGTTAACATCTCTGTCAAGTGCGTATGTGTTAGCTGCAGCATGTTTTACTACTTTAAAAATCCAAGTTCCCATTTCCAAAGTCACACACCCGAAATCAAGATCCCTGTAGCTAGATTTAGGCATCAGGGTGGAATCTGGACCCAGCCTGGTCCCCAGGGGCAGAAGGTCACCATGCAGCAGCCCAACACCTCAGCCAGCTGGGATGGCTTCAGTTGGTGTCACCTTTGCAGAGGGTCCCCCGTCAGGCCCCCAGCCAGCACCACCACTTACCTACCCCCCAGCAGGATCGATGCAGGTGGCCATGAACCGAGATCCCTCCCAGAACAGTGCCAGGAGATTTACATCACCTCTCAGTTTAAGGAAGAAGCTGCCAACCCCAAATGTAAGCGAAGCAGAAGCCTGGATGCCAAGCACAGACATCAAAGGAATCAGGTTGATTTCTGAGAGTGAAACAGAGGTTCGTTTGACTGCTGGATTCCAAGTTTTTGAAAGGCAACAGGGGCAGACCGTCAAGGCTGGGAATTTACTCTTTTCAAGCAAATAAGCAAGACCAGCACCTGTTCAACCACCTTTGGGAGAGGGACCACCCAAGTGAAACACAGCATTACTGTGTCTTAATAAAAGCTAGGACCACTGCAGTTAATATTAAATCTCTACGGCTAGGTCCCGGATGGACTATGGACTAGTGAGATAAGCAGGAATATGGCAGGCATCCTCAGCATGCAATAATGACATGTTAAATGTAACTGCAAAAAAAACCCAAACCAGGGTGTAATAATAGCACCAACAGACCCACTACTAGGATCAAATGCCTTAGAGTCATTACATTTGACAAGGATGCTACTGGGAAAGGAATCAATAAAAAAACCCATGTCACAACAAAAAGAATTAGGGAAAGGTTTCCTGCATGACTTGACAGCTCTGAACACCCGCTGCAAACCTGCTCAACTTTGCCAATGTACAACTGTAGGAGTTTGCATGACTGCTGGCACCCAAAGACTCAAAACAGAGGGAAATTAATCACAAAGGAAGAGCAACACCGGAGTTTGCAGTAGAAGAAACAAATGATGGTGTTGTCCGGTACGCACAGATTCTCAAGCTAATACTGGAAAGCACAAGAGCAATAAAAGCCAGAAGAACACACCTTGGAGGGGGACCTGGAATCAGGGAAAAACTGCTCATCAGCATCGAGAAGGAGATGAGCAAAAATCAAAGGTTAATGCAAAAGCTTTGGGAAGATGACCCCAGGAATTGCTCACGAGGTGGCACA